TATAAATATTGTTCTCTCAAATTTGATAGAAAACTATTTATACCCTTATTTTTTCTTCAAATTAATTAACGATAATTATCATTTATTTTATATATCATCCCTCAAAGTGGAGAACCATGGAAGATGGTCTGACATGAAAAAGATTCAGACCTGGTATGAGATGAAGAGATCCATCGAAAGAGAAGCAAGTATTTCTTTTTATTGTCAATTATATTCAGTAGGTGATATATGGATGAAAATAACTACTTAAATATGACTGAACTTTCCCGCAACAAGATAAAAAGAAGAGTCTGATTCGGAGAAAGATTAAGATCGTCAGTGATCTACGGATAGCTACCGACGTGAGAGGCCTAGAGTGAAGCTCTGGCAGAGTGGCTCCCTTGTTAAGTGTAGGGCCCCTTGATACATTTGGATAAATTAAATAATGGGGAGTTCTGCCATCTGAAGTCAACGAAGAAAAAGGAATTTAGCAGATTTAAAATAAAAAATAACAACTGATGAGATGAGGTGAATATACGAACAACATAAGGGATGAGATTTTAAACTTAAATCATTTGGAGTGAACATTAATGTCTTTTTATTGCTATCAGATTTTTTAATTAATTTTCTGCTGTGTATTGTTTTGTTTAATTTATTTTATTAGTGCCTTTGGAATATTTAATAGTAGTCATAACTTTACAAAATAATATATACTGCAACTTATTTTTATCACAATTTATTTTTTATATATTACAAATAAGAATTATCATTACTTATTTTAAGAAATATTTGTTATCTATAGGTTTATATCTTTAATTATTTCATAAAAAACAATACTGCAATTTATACATAAAAAAAGTTTCCAATTATCAGTTCTAATAAAATAATAGCTTTTATCTTTATTACAAATTTACTCCACATGAATTAATTTTTATCATATTAATTTTACTGCAAGCTAGAAATACTGCAACTTAATTTTCTAATACTATGGGAGGTGTATTCAATTAAAATTTTCAGGTGATTTTTATTAATTAAGATTTTATTTAAAATTTGTTGTTATCGAATTTGATTTCATAACATACTCTGAAATGCACTTTTAGTGAAAACATTATAAGTTGTAAGGTTTTAAAGTGTTAAGTGATTTTAGAGTGTTTAAAGTCTTAGTTAAAACACACAAAAATCGAAATCTGATGGTTTTGTATGAAATTCTATTCTAACAAAAATCATATTAAGCTTTTCAATTCATAAAGTCATCAAAACTTATCAAAAAGAAAATCAATTCAAACACTACATTGAGTACCTCCTGCATGTCACCAAACCTAGATAATTATGTTGTTGTATACTTGTATGAAATCTTGAACCCGACACAAAACAATACTGCTAAACCAAAAAATCTTAAACTGGATTGAACCAAAAAAACAGAGACCATGCCATCTTTTAAACCGAAAAACCCAAAATCATGTCATCCTTAAATCCAAATAGGGGTCAAAATGAACTAACTCACTCAATTAAGCTTAGTTGATAGTGAATTTGAATCTTTCATGAATTAGCTCAGCTCAACTCATTTATTATATGAGATTCAATATATACTTAAACTTATCTTATAGATCATAGGTTAAATAATCTAACTCACAATCAATATAATTAATAAAAAATAAAAAATATAAAAAACATAGAATAAAATAATGTTTATAATATATTTAAGTTTTGATATTAAAAATCCAAAACAGTAATATTAAATATTGAATGAAACAACATCTAATAATAAATAAAAGTTAAATTAGTGATCTAAAAATATATTTCACATAGGAGTCGTGAAATGATTCACCTTTAAAATCTCCATTTATTTGAATCATAAAGAAATAAATTTTGTATGAGAGTTTTTGAATATTTTGTTTTACAATTTAATTCGCAAGATATATAACAGAAGGGTTGATATTAATATTCTTTACATTTTTATGTATATTTAAAACTTTTTGGATTAATATTTTAATTTTAGAAGATAAATATTATTAAGATAAAAACTATCTTTTCTTAATAAAAATATATTCCCTCCGTTTCTTTTTAGAAGATGTTTTAGTTAACTACACGAATATTAAGATATTTATCTTTTTCTAAAAATTATTTTTAATGATATACTTTTAAAATTATTTAACCAATTATTAAAAAAAATTGGAAAATTTAATTGGTTGAATAGTTTTCAATAAAATTAAAGTTAATCTTAAAACTTCAAAACATACCTTAAGATCTCAAAAATCTTATATTTTTAAACAACATAAATCTTCTAAAACATTTTATAAAAAGAAACAGATAGTTCAATTTTTTTTTTTTGTAACAACAGATGTTCATTTAAAATCATTTATATAAATATAACGTGTTTATTAAAGATAGTCATGGGTGCGAATCGAGGAATCCATGTCTAGGACTCATTTTGACAACACTAGATCAAAAAAACAAAAGTGCTCCACTTCTGTCACCGGACAATGAAGATCCTCGTCGCCGTTAAGCGTGTCGTCGACTACGCCGTCAAGATCCGCGTCAAACCCGACAAGGTAACAAATCAAAAAAAAAAAAAAACCATCTCTAAAAAATCTCTCGTTCCTCCAATTGAATCACCGTTTTTTAATTTCGATCCCTCTATAGACCGGCGTAGATACACAGAACGTCAAGATGTCGATGAATCCCTTCTGCGAGATCGCTCTCGAGGAATCCCTTCGAATCAAAGAAGCTGGGCTTGCCAAAGAGGTCGTGGCAGTGAGTATCGGACCTTCGCAGTGCGTTGACACGCTTCGCACTGGTCTCGCTATGGGTGCGGATCGAGGAATCCATGTACAGAGTGATTCTAGCTTCCTCCCTTTGACGATTGCTAAGATTTTGAAGAGTGTTGCTGATGTCGAGAATCCTGGATTGGTTTTCCTCGGGAAACAGGTAAAAAGTTTTGAACTTTATCGAGATTTTTTAGATTAAAAGTTCAGATTCTTAGCTGAAAGTTCAGATTTTTAGCTAAAAGTTCAGGTTTTTAGCTTAAATTCAGATTTTTAGCTGAAAGTTCAGATTTTTAGCTAAAAGTTCATATTTTTAGCTAAAAGTTCAGGTTTTTAGCTGAAAGTTCAGATTTTTAGCTTAAATTTAGATTTTTAACTTAAATTCAGATTCTTAGCTAAAAGTTCAGATTTTTAGCTTAAAGTTCAGATTGTTAGCTTAAAGTTCATATTTTTAGCTAAAAGTTCAGGTTTTTAGCTTAAATTCAGATTCTTAGCTAAAAGTTCAGATTTTTAGCTTAAAGTTCAGATTTTTCTGTCTTAAGAAGCGGAAAGGTTCCAACTTGGCTCTTGGCTTTAAAGTTTTGATCTTTGAAGAGGCAGTCTTGTTGGGTTATATAAGAAAGTCTTTGATTGTGTTATGTAATGTTTAGGCGATAGATGATGACTGTAATCAAACAGGACAAATGGTTGCAGCTTTGCTTGGTTGGCCACAAGCAACTTTTGCATCTAAGGTAACATATTATTCCCTGTATATGATTTCAGATCATTACATTAAAGTTGTTATAGTTATTTTGTTTCTTGTCATTCTTGTTTAGTAGGTTGTGTTGGATAAGGATAAGAAGTTTGCAACTGTGGATAGAGAAGTAGATGGAGGGCTTGAAACCCTTTGTGTAGATTTACCCGCTGTGATCACGTAAGTAAAGTCTACTTTATTTACATGACTTGTGTCATGATTTTTTTGGGGGGGTTGAGGTTTATGTGATCTCTCAAATTACTAAGTAAGCTAGCATTAAAGCTCTTATTGTAACAGCTTTGATGTTGTAATGCAGAACTGATTTGAGGTTGAACCAACCAAGATATGCAACACTCCCAAACATAATGAAGGCAAAATCGAAGCCGATTAAGAAAATGACGTTGGAGGATTTGAAAGTAGAGGTTAAATCGGACATAGAGATTGTGGAAGTCACGGAGCCTCCAAAGAGGAAATCTGGAGTTATCGTTTCTTCAGTGGATGAGTTGATAGATAAGCTCAAAAATGAAGCTCATGTAATTTGAAGAAACAAACCTTATATGACTCTTCATCACAATCTGCTACAGGCACACTTGGTCCTTTTTTCTTTCTTCTTTAGATACATTACTATTCAAGAATGAAGAAGTAAATAAATAAAGAACGTGCAAAACAGTTTATTTGGTAAGTTACTTTAAACAGCTTCTCGTTGCATTCTTTCTTCAGTTTGATACAGTGTTTTAGAGAATCTCGTTAGATGCAAAACACACAAATTATCTGATTATATTTTCATTGAGCTGGACAATTCCTTTCTTCGTATCTTTTGAAATTAGACAAATGCTTTTTCTTTAGTGAAGCATGAAGCCATCTGCAAGGTATCCTGCAGTGGACTCTGGTATGCTAATGTCTCTATACTTGGCAGGGTTTTCTCCTGGCAAGTTATTTGATTGGTCTATAAATCCTGAAATTTGGAAACAAACTTACCTGAAAAAAAAGAAATTCACCTTGTCCCTGTGTTCTACGCTAGTGACACTTAACTGCTGTTCGAACCAGAACAGAAGAACGACTGACACTCCAAAACACTATAAAACCAACTAATTATGCATTTATAGGCTTATCTAATGTGATAACGTTACTTTTTACATACTTTCATGATTGTGTAATTTCTACATACTCTCATGATTTTGTTATCACTTTCGTGATCTCTATTGTGTTGGTGTTTATATATAACTGCATACACTATAATTGGATTATTTGTTCATCTATTAACTATAGTTTTATGTTGAACCGTTTATGCGATCACTCAAATCATTAAGAAAACTAGCATTAAAGCTTGAATAGACAGATGCAAGAACAACTTGGATGTTTATACTGCATAATGAGCCTGAACCAACGATTGCAATTAACATTGACGAACAGATCACATTATTTAACAATAATAAAACATAGAAAATTGACTCTTTTTTTTATTGACTAATCCAACTACCCCACGAGACCTTTTTAAAATTGACTTGTTGTAATAAACTATTATGGGGTTTGGTCCTCTATTCCGAGTTGACTTCCTTCTTGGTCTCCTCTTGACACTGCGCGGTCTTTACATCCCATCATGCCCTCTCAACGAAGAAGATTATCTCCTCTCCGTTAACAAGGGCAAGCTTGATCAAGAGAAACAAAAGGAGAGAAAGATGGGTTTGTTCTCGTTTCTTGGAAGAGTTTTCTTCGCTTCTCTCATCCTCGTCTCTGCTTGGCAAATGTAAGTTTTATTGCTCTTGTTGTTTATTCAAAGGAAACTACTTCGTGCTACTAGATCTAATATATGGTATTGAGAACCCTTTAGGCTCTTTTGAGTTTGTCTGAAGCTGATTTTGGTTGCATTTCGCATTTTGAGTATTATGCTTTATCCTAGTGTAGTGTGTCTTAGTTCTATATTTTGAAGTGAATCAAGACTTCCTTTACAGATGTCTCCAAGAATTCAATGTGACTTTTTTTTTTGTGATAGATCTTTGGTCATATACTTATGTGTAGTTTTATCATTCCATTGTATAGTGAATTAGTGACAAATCATTAGACATGAAAGTAAAAAAAAAATCGTACTATTCGTTACTATAGTTGTTATTTCGCTGACTTGGCACTTGGCAGCCCAAATATTATGAAACTACTCAAATATTATATACCAGTTTTGACTTTTGTCCATATTACTGAACTTCACTACACATCTTTGTGGAATTATTATAGGTTCAATGGCTTTGGATTCGATGGTGGTCCTGCAGCTCTAAAGCTTAATCTGGCCAAGGCAAATCTATCTTCTAGTTCTAGATTATGGGTAACTTTGTCTAATATAGAGGTAAACGACCATGTTATAATGTTCTTCTCTCTAGTCTCTAGTGCTCCCAGTGTATCTATATATGCATCTTTATATGACCTTGAGATCGAATATTTAAAGGTGAGGCAAGCCAGTGTTACTGTTATTTCCCTGATAGCAACCGGAGGCGTACTCTTTGTTATGGGAAAATTCTTTGGTGCTTATCTGGTTAGGCTTCCTTCTTGTTCATCTCATGTTTATGAAAACCAAAAAAAAAACAGATTCAAAGCTTGACACATGTTTAACTTTAAAGTCTCAATCTTTTCTTTTTGTGTTAGGCTTTTTACTTTACAGTTGTATCAGTCCTATTCTGTATGATCTCTACAACTACGGACCTGAGGATCGTTATTTCTCTCCTTTCTGGATAGAGCTCTTAAAGGTTTGTTCAGAACTTATTTAGCTTTTGTAATCTCAAGAAACTAGCTAGGGACATGACTGTGTGTTTGCTTTATTTAGGCTGAAAATAACGCAACTTATACAGCTTCAAATCTTTCAGTCTTACAGTTACATCCTCAAAACGATTCAACCCTAAATCTCATTCCGTTTGTTATTGCAGAACGTTGCAAATTTTGGAGCATTGTATCTTTATTTTTTGAATGAATAACTCGATACCCTACAAAAGGAAATTGAAGAAGAGAACTCTTGTCACCATGGAGCCTTCAAAGAGGAAACCTTTATGTACTTGAACCAATTTGCTATAGACATAATACTTGCTCTTTCTTTAGCTACATTGTTGTTCCATGCATCAAGTGGAACAAATTAATAATCAAATGAAATCGTTTTATTTAAAACATATTGTCTTTGTTACACCGTTTTAGGTGCAAAAGCACACACAATAACACAAATATCTTATTATATTTTCCATAAGAGGGATAAGTCTTTTTTTTTCATATTCTAAAATTAGACAAATGTGATTTTCCATTGAATCCACCCGCAAGATATCCTGCAGTGTACTCTGGTATGGTCATATCTCTGTACTTGGCAGGGTTTTCATCAGACAGAAGCTCTTTGATGGGTTCATAAACAGTGGAATTTGGAAACAGGTTCGAGCTAAAGAAGCACGCAACTGAAATCCTCGGACCATCTCTGTTTGCCCGTACCCTATGCTCCACGCTCGAGAACTTGTCGTTAGTTATCAGCTGCAAAACAAAATATCTCATATTTTCTCAATAAAGTGATTTTTTTTTTGTTAAAATAATGCATCAATTGAGAGCTTGCTTGCCTGCATGAAATCACCAATGTTGACGACAAGAGCTCCATGAATAGGAGTAACGTCGACCCAATAATCTTTATGAAGAACTTGAAGACCACCGATTTGGTCTTGAAGAAGAAGTGTAAGGAAAGAGTTATCGGTGTGCTTACTTATGCCCAAAGTTAGGTCAGGCTGTGGGCAAGGTGGGAAGTAATGGCAAAGCATAAACAAGCTCTTGAGGCAATCCATTTTCTTTAGGATCTCAGAGTTCAAACCTAAAGCTTCCGAGAGAAGTTGGAAGAGCAAAGCTCCAAACTCCATTACATGTTTTGAGTATTCCATCACAGCATCCCTTAATTTAGATTCACTTATTCAGAATCAGAACACTTCGACAAAAAAAAAAGAAACAAGGAGAAGCATTTGTGCTAGAAACATACATAGGTGATTACACAATGCTAAAAATCCCCTATATATTATTTGAGAATCATTTAAAAAGTTGTAACCTGAAGTTTGTAAGAATTAGAAATAACTCCAATCCTACGTGGCATAGCTCTTTGGCTTCTATTTCAAATCCTAAGGATTCTAGAGCATGTGATATAATGTATAGTTTAAAAATTAAATTCTCTAGCAATATAATATTCCGTAGGCTATAGTTGGTCGCATATATCAAATATTTATTGTTTCGCATGCTTTCCTTAAATAAAACCTATGGAATTACCTAATGTGATCAAAATATATATATGACAATTAATGATTTTAAACAATAAAGATTTGATAACAATCTGTATATTTTTTCATTTTGTTTATTTATTTATTATTAAAATAAATTACACAATTACATTAATCATATAATAAAAATCTAGATTTTTTTGTGTATGTTGTATTTCAAATTTTTCAAAATGAGTATAAATTACTAAAACTGTTAAAAGTCTCACATAAACTTTTAAGATCAAGGTTTTAATTTTTTTTTTCTATACTAAAATATAATGATTATAAGACCATATGAAGAAATAAATTTAGTTTATATATATTTAATATCATTTTAATTAAACTATACATCGTATGAAAATACATATTTATATTTTGATATTTGCCTTGAACATATATTTAAAAGTTAATATTTTAATTTTGAAATATGTCATTGTTTTTCTAAAATGATTGTAAATTATTGAAACTATTAAACATCTCAAATTAAAAAAAAAAATCGATGTTGTAAAGTTCTGTTACACAAATATGCAAATAATCATAAAATCATATGAGTAGAAACCTCATTTAATGAACATCCATACTAAAAGTGTGTAATATTACTATGTTTATATCATTTAGATTTTATTATATATCATATACAATATATAAGATTGATTATTTTGATTTATTTACGCCAATTGTGAATAAACAAGAGTAATAGTTAAATTTATATGCATACGCCAATTTATTACATAATAGTAACTGATTTCCTAGTTATTTAATATATATTTTTATTTTATTATTTATAATATGCAGAAAGATATAAATAAATAATAAATATAAAATACTTATTGTGCATAAAGTGCAGATCTTAACCTAAGTATGTATCTCTTTAATTATTTTAAATCTTAAGTATTTTCTAAAACAAACGAAATGAGAATAAAATTAAAAATAAATATTTATATCCAGTAATAAACAAAATATAAAAAAAACATAGCAAGATAAAAATGGAAGATAAATACGACTGACATGTGAACTTAAACTTCTCATAACCATAATTAATTTTAAAATTGTTAAATCATGATATAAAACTGAGTTAATTTTTAATTTGTTAACTTTTAATTTTTTTAAATCATTATGGTTATGTTAAATCATGACCATAATTAATTTTAAATTGTTTATTTGTATTTGAAAAACTTAAAATATTGTTTTTAAAAGTGAAAAAAGATATATGAAATCAGATCCATTAAATTCTAAGATTTGATCTACATTTCTAACTAAAATTGTTTATGATCCTACGTATAGATAATTATATAAGAATTTCAAATTTCTGAAATTTCAAATACATACAAAAACAATCATATGTAAATTTTAAATTTGTCAATACTAAAGTTTTATATTTTAATTACATATATTTACCCTGCGCAAGGCGCAGGTTGATATCTTGTGATTTTCATTGAACTAACTAACCATTTCTTATGCATATTAGAGTTTAGGATTGCATAAAAAGCATTTTTAGGTTGCATATCCATTTGCATTTGTTTACATTAGGTGATGGAGTACCTCAAGAAGCTTTTGAAGGAGTTTGGAGTAGTTTGGTTCAAGAAAAGGCTGAAATGATCAATTTGCGAGTT